TGCTGGAATGAATGGTAGGTTGTCTACTTTTAGTTGTTTGAGGAACCTCCACACTATTTTCTATAGAGGTTGGGCTAATTTACATTTCCACCAACAGTGTATAAGCATTCCCTTTTCACCATATCTGTGCCAATATCTATTGTTTTTTTTTTACTGTTTTCTTTCCTTTTTTTAATTTCAGCATATTATGGGGATACAAATGATTAGGTTACATATATTGTCTTTGCCCCACTAGAGTAAGAGCTTCAAGGGTTTTTTTTTTCTTTTTAATAATGGCCATTCTGACAGATGGGTTTAATTTTTTTTCATGTATTTGTAGCCAGTTACGTATCTTCTTTTGAAAAATGTCTGTTCATGTCTTTTATCCACTTTTTAACAGTTATTTGTTTTTCTTGCTGGTTTGTTTGAGTTTCTTGTAGATTCTGGATATTTGTCCTTTTTTGGATGCATGGTTTGAATATTTTCTCCCATTCTGTTGGTTGTCTGTTTACTCTCTTGATTATGTCTTCTGTTGTGCAGAAAATTTTTAGTTTAATTAAGTCTCATTTATTTATTTTTATTTTTGTTGTATTTGCTTTTTGAGTACTAGTCATAAATTCTTTGCCTAGACTGATGTCTAGGAGAGTTTTCCTAAGTTTTCTTTGAGAATTTTTATGGCGTTAGGTCTTACACTTAAGTTTTTAAACCATATTGAGTTAATTTTGTGTGTGGTGAGAGATAGGAATCCAGTTTCAGACTGCATGTGGCTCTCCAGTTTTCCCGGCACCAATTATTGGATAGGTCATCTTTCCTCAATGTAAGTATGTGTCTGCTTTGTTGAAGATCAGTTGGTTGTAGGTATATGGTTTTATTTCTGTGTTCTTTATTCTGTCCTATTGATCTATGTGTCTACTTTTACACCAGTACTATGCAGTTGTGGTTGCTATAGCCTTGTGATATAATTTGAAATTGGGTAATGTGATGCCTTCAGCTTCATTCTTTATGTTTAGGATTGCTTTGGCTATTTGAGCTCTTTCATGATTCCATATGAAATTTAGGATTGTTTTTTCTGATTCTGTGCAAAATGATATTGATATTTTGATGAGAATCACATTGAATCTATAAATCACTTTGGGCAGTATGGACATTTTAACAATATTGTTTCTTATAATCTGTGAACATGGGATGTTTTTTCATTTGTTTGTATCAGTGATTTCTTTCATCTATGTTTTGTAGTTCTCCTTGTAGAAATCTTTCATCTCCTTGGGGAAGTATATTCCTAGGTATTTTATTTTCTTTGCAGCTATTATAAATGGTATTGAGTTCTTGATTTGATTCTCAGCTTGGCTGTTATTATTGTATAGAAATGCTACTGATTTATGTACATTAAATTTTTAACCAGAGACTTTATTGAATTTATTAATTCTAGGAGTCTTTTGGAGGAGTCTTTAGGGTTTTCTAGATAAATGATCATGTAATTAGAAAACAGGGATAGTTCAACCTCTTTTTTATCCTATCTGAATGCCCCTTATTTCTTTCTCTTGCCTGATTGCTCTGGCTAGGACTTTCAGTACTGTGTTGAATAGATGTAGTAAAAGTGGGCATCCTTGACCTGTGAATATTGATTTTCTATCCTGCAACCTTTATGAAATTCATGTATTAGTTCTAGTACCTTTTTGTTTACAACATTAGATTTTCTATCTAAAAAGTCATGTTATCTCAAATAAAGACAGTTTTACTTTTTTCTTTCCAATACAAATACTGTTTATATCTTTTTCTGGCCTTGTTTCACTGGCTAGAACTTCTATAATTTTTAATATAAATGTCAGAGAGTAGATATCCTTGCTTTGCTCCATATTTTAGAAAAAGCATTTAGTCTTTCACTATTAAACATGATGTAAGATGTAGGCTTTTTGAAGATGCCCTTCAAATAATGAGGAAGTTCCCTTCTATTCCTACTTTGCTAAGAGTTTTTAAATCAGGAATGGATATTGGATTTTGCCGAGTGCTTTTTATGAATCTATTGAGATAATCATGTGAATTTTATTTTGTTTTTAGTTAATATGGTGAATTATATCAATTGATTTTTGATGTCAAACCAACTTTGATTTTTAGGATAAATCTCATGTGAACATGATGTATTATTGTATTAACATATTGTTGGATTGAGTTTGCTAAAATTTTATTTTGAGTTTTTGCATCTTTGTTCATGAGGGATGTTAGCCCATAGTTCTCTTTCCTTGTAATGTCTATGTCTCATATTTATAGGTAACAATCATTAATGCTGGATTCATAAAATAAGTTATATAGGAGCTAGAAGACTTTGTGTGAGGTTGGTGTTATTTATTTCTTAAGTGAAGCCCTCTGGGCCTACAGTTTTGTGTTAAGGGCTTTAACTGAAAATTCAATTTCTTTAATATAGAGCTATTGAAATTATCTATTTCTTCTTACATGAGCTTTGGTAGTTTGTTAAGTAATTTGTTCATTTCATATAAGTTGTCAAATTTATTGGCATAAAGTTGTTTAAATATCTACTTAGTGTTCTTTAAATATGTACAGAATCTGTGTTGATGTCACCTCTCTCATTCCTGATCTGTCTGAATAAAGTGTTATCAATTTTTTGAGCCTCTCAAGAATTGGCCTTTAATTTTATTGATTTTGCTTGTTTTGTTTGTTTCCTTTTTTTTAAATTTAACAGCTTTATTGATATATAATTAGCATACAATAAACTGTATATATTTAAAATGTCCAATTTGATAAGTTTAAACAATTTTATGGTTTTTGTTTTGGCATATTACAGGGATACAAATGTTTAGGTTACATATATTGCCTTTGCTCCACCCAAAGTAGAGCTTCAAGCATGTCCATCCCCAGATGGTGTGCACTGCAACCATTAGGTGTGAATATACCCATTCCCTTCTCCCTGCTCCCACCTGCCTGGCACATGATAAATGTTACCACTGTATTTTCACTTAAGTGTTGGTCAGTTATGTCAGTTAATAGCAGTTTGATGGTGAGTACATATATATGGTGCTTGGTTTTTCATTCTTGTGATACTTCACTTAGTAGAATGGGCTCCAGCTCTATCCAAGATAATACAAGAGGTGCTAGATCATCATTGTTTTTTATGGCTGAGTAGAACTCCATGGTATACATATACCACATTTTATTAATTCATTCATGTATTGATGGGCACTTGGGTTGTTTTCACATCTTTGCAATTATAAATTGTGCTGCTATAAACATTCTAGTGCAGGTGTCTTTTTTATAGAATGTCTTTTGTTCCTTTGGGTAGATGCCCAGTAATGGGATTTCTAGTTCTACTTGTAGCTCTCTGAAGTATCTCCATATTACTTTCCACAGAGGTTGTATTAGTTTGCAGTCTCACCAGCAGTGTAGGAGTGTTCCTACCTCTCTGCATCTATGCCAACATTTGTTATTTTGGGACTTTTTGATAATGGCCATTCTCACTGGAGATAAGTGATATCTCATTGTAGTTTTGATTTGCATTTCCCTGATGATTAGAGATGTTGAGCATTTTTTCATATCTTTGTTGGCTATTAGTCTGTCTTCTTTTGAAAAGTTTCTGTTCATGTCCTTTGCCCACTTTTTGATAGAGTTGTTTTATTTTTTCTTGCTAATTCTCCTACATTCTATATAGCTTCTAGTATCAGCCCTTTACTGGATGTGTAGTATGCACATATTTTCTCCCATTCTGTGGGTTGTCTGTTTGCTCTCAGGATAGTTTCCTTGGCTGTGCAGAAGCTTTTTAATTTGATTAGGTCTCATTTATTTGTTGTTGCTGTGATTGCTTTTGGGGTCTTTTTCATAAATTCAGTAGAACTAACTGAAATTGATAATTTAAAAAAGTATACAGAGATTAATAAAACAAAAAATTAATTCTTTGAAAAACTAAAGTTGATGCTCCTTTTGCTATATTAACAAGAAACAGAAAAGAAAGAACTCTAATAAATTCCATCAGGAATGAAAAAGGAGAAATTAAAGCTGACACCACAAAATTACAAAATATCATCTATGAATACTATAAAAACCTATATGCACATAAACTTGAAAACGTGGAAATAGAAAAATTCTTAGAAACACACAGCCTCCCTAGGCTCAATCAGGAGGAAATAGAATGCCTGAACAGACCAATATCAAGTACTGAAAATGAAGCAGCAATAAAAAAAAACCTTCCTAAAAAAAAGTCCTGGACCAGATGGTTTCACACCTGAATTTTGCCAGACCTACAAAGAAGCACTGGTGCCTGAACTGCAGAAATTATTCCACAACATTGAGAAGTAAGGAATCTTCTCCAACACATTTTATGAAGCCTACATCACCCTGATATCAAAACCAGGAAAGGAAACAACAAAAAAAGAAAACTACAGACCAGTATCCCTTATGGATATAGATGCAAACATTCTCAAAAAAATCCCAGCAAACTGAATTCAGGTGCTTATCAAAAAATAATCCATCACAACTAAGTGGGCCTCATCCCAGAGATGCAGGAACAGTTCAATATATGCAAATCTATAAATGTAATTCACCATATACATAAGCAAAATACAAAGACCGTATGATCCTCTCAATAGATGTAGGAAAAGCATTCAACAAAATTCAGCACACTTTTATGATAAGAATGCTTAACAAAATAGGTATAGATGGGACTTACCTAAAGATGATACAAGCCATATATGACAAACTCCTCAAAGTGATACACAGATTTAATGCAATCCCTATTAAAATACCAACATCATTTTTTACAGACCTAGAAAAAATAGTTCTATGCTTCATATGGAACCAGAGAAGGCCCATATAGCAAAAGCAATCTTAAACAAAAAGAACAAATTGGGATGTGTTAACTTACCAGACTTCAAACTATACTACAAGGTCATAGCAACTAAAACAGCATGTTACTGGCACAGGCACAGAGACATAGACCAATGAAACAGAACTGAGAACCCAGATATAAAACCATCCTCATATAGCCATTTAATCTTTGACAAAGCTGACAAAAACATACACTGGGGAAAAGAATTCTTATTCAATAAATGGTGCTGGGAAAATTGGATAGCCACATGTAGAAGAGTGAAATAGGATCCTCACCTTTCAACTCTCACAAAAATCAACTCATGGTGGATAATAGGCTTAAACCTAAGACATGAAACTATAAGAATTCTAGAGGAAAATGCTGGAAAAACTCTTACAGATGTTGGCCTGTTTTCTATTTCATTGGTTCCCTCTCTGATCTTTATTACGTTCTATCGTTAACTTCTTTGAGTTTAATTTGCTCTTCTTTTCCTAGTTTCTTAAGGTAGAACCTGAGGTCATTGATTTGAAACCTTTCTTCTTTTTCAATATAGATTTATTGTGCTACATATTTCTATAAATCTATTGTGCTATATATTTCCCGTTACTTAGTGGCATCCCACAAAGTTTGATATGGTGTGTTTTTATTTTCTCTCAGTTTAAAGAAGTTCTAATTTATCTTAGCATTTTTCTTTGACATATTATTTAGAAATGTATTGCTTTGTTTCCAATCATTCGTGAGATTTTTCAGATATCTTTCAGTGATTGATTTCTAATATGACTCCATTGTGAACAGACAACAAACTTTGTATGACTTGAATCCTTTTCAATTAACTGAGACTATTTTGTGGCCCAGAATGTGGTTTATTTTGATGAATGTTCCCTGTGTACTTGAAAAGAACATGCTTTCTGCTGATGTCAGATAGAGTGTTCCATAAATGTCAGTTTGGTCAAGTTGGTTAGAGTTGTTTAAATTTACTATCTACTTACTGACTTTTTGTCTATGTGTTATATCAATTATTGAGAGAAGTGTGTTGAAATATCTTTTTGTTCTCTGTTTTATTTTGGATAGTTTCTAAAACTGTATCTTCAAGGTCACTAAGTTTTGCTTCTGAAATATCTAATCTGTCATTAATCTTGTCCAGTACATTTTTATCTCAGATATTGTAGTTTTATCTAGAGACATTCAATTTAAATATTGTTTGTATCTTCCATGTCTTTATATACCTTTTGGAGTATATGAAACACAGTTATAACAGCTGTTTTAATGCCCTTATTTGCTCTAATTCTAATATCTGTGTCAGTCCTTGGTTAGTTTTGATTTGGCCCAATTTTCCTGCTCTTTTGTGCAGTTGATCATTTTTGATTGGCTATCCAGGCATTGTGAATTTTACCTTGTTAGGTGCTGGATATTTTTGTATTTCTATAAATATTCTTTTTTTTCCCTATAAATATTCTTGAGTTTTGTTCTGGGATTCAGTGAAGTAACTTAGAAACAGTTTGATCCTTTTGGATCTTTCTTTTTTGATTTGTTAGGCAGGATCACGGCTGTGCTCAGTGGGGCTAATTATTCCCCACTGCTGTGGCAGGACCCTTCTGTGTACTCTAGCCACTGCCCATGCATCCTTCCATGTTCCAGTCTTTCTGGTGGGAACAAGCACTATTTCCAGCCATGTGTTATCCCTGGGCCTGGTAACCCCTTATCCTTTTGAGTGGCTCTTTCTTGGGTAGTATCCTCACTCATAAGTGCTGGTCAAAACTCAATTAAATGCTCCAGGGGGACTCTCTGCAACCCTCCAGAGTTCTATCTCTGAGCAGCTCTCTTCTCCTCAGTACTCTTCCTCGAGAATTCTAGCAGCCTCGGTTTCCCCAGACTCTCAGCTCCTTCTCCTGAATTCAAGGGGCCTGCTGGTTCCTCTGTGTTTCTTCTCTTCATGCTGCGGCATCCTAGAATCCCTCTCAAGGCAGTGGACTGGGGGATATCTAAGGCTCATGTCATTCTTTTTCTACCTTTTGGGGATCCCTGCCCTTCCATGCCTGCGGTCCATTGTCTTGAAAATTGCTGTTTCGTTTTTCTGACTGTTTTAGGTAAGAGGGTAAATTCAGTCTATTATTGCATCTTGGCCAGAACCTTGATCCTGGGCAAATGTTTCAATCTCAGTGTCCAATTTTCTCAACTTTCACCTCTGTTTCATAGAGCTGCCATAGAGTGTGTCAGCTGATCAACGTAGAGCACTTAGAACATGCCTAGTGTGTGATAAGTGCCCTTCCTATTTCAGAAGAGAGACTTATGGAGGCCCAAAGGGACATTGGTCCAGTAGCTCTTCCTGAGATTGCCAAAAGAATCATGGAGACAGTGCCTAGAATATTAACAGCCCTCTGAAGTCAGACAGTGGTTGGAGCTGCAGTCCGCAGAGGTTTAGAGTGCTGCCAGGGGTGGCACCATCCCTGCCATCTCTCAGGGTACTCTTGGAGTGTAAGAACAGTCCATGTGGCAAACTGCCCTAAGTGGCCAAGGAACCTATGAAGGACTCATAGATCCAGACACTTGTTGCAGCTGGTGGTCTATTGTCAGGCTTAGGGATGATATGGGGCATCTACTAAGATATCTGTTGGAAAGTAGTTTGGGGTTCAAATAATCTACAAAAAAATGTTTACAGAACATTGGGATGATCTACTTGGGACCCTTCACTGGGCTGATGAGAATATTGAGTCATGGGAAGGTTGAGTGACTTGTCCCAAAGGATTTCCCAATAGGTTTTGATTAGGAACCTGTCTAGGGGGTGTAGCAACTGCTGGGAGGACCTTGCCCAGAGCCTCCCACCCTTACCACTTCATGGTGCCCAACTTGGGCATGGGTGCCCACGTTCTGGTTGCCGGCACCGACACTCCTTTGTCTGATGGCTTTGTTTGGGTCATGAGGCATGTTTTGCCTGTCTAGTGGAAGCCTGACAGTTTGAGGAAATAGCACTCTTGTCTAGGAATCACCCTCAATCCATGACTGCGGGAGTTGGTGTATAAATACCCCGGCTTCCTTGCCTCAGAAGCCCATGATTTCCACTGCTTCCTAGAATTCTCCTGTGGGATTGATCTCTGGTTGCCCACAGTGGTAGCTGGTTTTATGACACACCTTTTAATGAGGGCCTTCACTTTACTGACTCATTTCTCTACCTCCTACTGGTGTTTCCTGGGACCCCCCAAAGGCATGACTTGCCTCTGAATCCTTGTCTTGGTGTCTGCTTCTGGGAAGAATCCAACACTAAGGCAGAGGCTACGTGGGGACAATTTACAAGCCTCAGGAAAGACAGAATCAACTAAGGCAGAAATCCCTTTTTAATGTAATGTTATGAAAGAGGAAAGAAAGAATTACTGCTATGAAGCTGTAATCTAAAGATTAGACAGAAGCCTTAGAGGAAATGATCACAAAATAATCAAATCCGTGATGATCTCAACAGGAATAAGCCAGAAAATGAAGAGAGTTCAGTTCAGGAAAGCAGATTTGCTTAGGTTTTCTCTCCAGCCGTTTTCCCCAGCCATTATAGGAATGTGAGAGATGGATACAGATGTTGGAGCTATTATTTGACAGCCTTAAGTTTGCTTAAAAAAGAAAAAAAAACGAAAACAACTAAGCAGAGTCTCAGAAGGACAGAAATGATGAGAAACCAATCAAGGACTCACTGCAGACTCCATGTAGCTAAAGCACGTTGGAAATGGGGCCATATCCTCAAAGAGAAGTAGAATGAGACAGCCCAGCTCTGTAAGCATGTTCTCAGCAAAGGGTGTAAAAATAATGAAAACAAGCAGGACATTTAAAATCTATTGGCAAAGGAAAGGATCAGAGAAGTTGTTTCTTTGACAGACAAAAACTTTTAAAATCTTCCTTACTTCTGTACTTTCAGAAAAGATAAGCAGTGAACACTCGGCTGCAAGTTGCAGGTACGATGTTAGGACGGAAGGTAAAACCCAGATAGGGAATAGGGTGGTCCAAGATGACCCAGAAATATGGCATGTGTTGAGTTCAGTAGGGTCCAAAACAGGACTGTACAAAAGAACTGTCTGCATTGCTGGGCATCATCTGTCTCTAGGCAGTGGTCACTAGCCACCTGTGGCTCTTGAGCACTCAAAATGTGAACAAGTATACCTGAAGCACTGGATTTTTTATTTTATTTCATTTTAAACACTGTGAATGTAATTAACCACATGTAGCTGGAGTCTTCCATATTAGACAGGCCGAGTCTGGAGCATGCACCCCAGGGCAATTTGGGTTGTTATGGAGAAGCCACAGGCCTATCATTCTGAGAAATCACACAGGACAGAAGCTGAGCCAGAGGCCGGTGTTGTTTCTCTACTTTTCTAAGGGAGATGCGACCACCAGAAATAGGTCTATCCAACGTCTTAAGGTACCTGGGATGGAATCTCCACAGTAATGAGCTGCTATGCAATATCTTAATACCTGTTAAACTAGTCATTCATTCATTCCTTGTAGAAATAGGGAAATGCTCATTCTATTTTACAGAATGAAGTGCTGCCTGATTGTAGAATTGCAAATACGATAAAAGCCCATGAAGATTTCAAAAAAGAAAGAAAGAAAGTGTTATTGAGTTCCGCTCTGGGGCCCAGGTGGTGAACCAAACAGACCCAGTCTCTGTCCTCATCCCACAGAAATGATAATCAAAAAGCAGTAGGGACAGACATCAGACCAATAATCACATTGATTTGTTTCATTATAGTAAAAAAGTACTATCAGTAAAGAGGACAGTGCTGTGAGAACAAATAACAGGGGTCTCAGAGTCCTCTGAAGACAGCAGGGTGGCTGTCCTGGGGAAGCAGCGTTTAAGTAGGAGTTAGTCTGGCGAAGACGAAGACATAGCAGGGGATGGGTGGGAAAGGCATTCCGGGGGGAGGGAAGGGTGTGCTGGTTGGCCCTGGGGAATGGAGGACTTTGGTGGTATTCCAGGAATGGTAAGGATGTGAGGACAGCCAGAATGGATTTAAAGAATTCTAAGTATCATCAGCTGGTAGAGCCTTTAGTTACATACAGCCCAGTGGTTTTTCCAACCTTTTATGATTAGCAGTAGAATCCTTTAGCCAAACAAAATACTGTGGGTAATGCTCATAATAAGACAGGAAAAGGTGCCTCTGCTCAGGTCTCCTGTGCATTTACTGCATAGAATCACCTCTGCTAAGCTTTGGGACTTCACACAACATGGTTGGAAAATACTACTGGAGTCAACTCTTCTCATTTCACAGATAAGGGATCCGAAGCTCAAGGCAAGTGCGTGACTCGATTCAGGCCACATAGCTTCATATGAGCATAGGGACATTAGCACCATGGTCCTCTGGCCTCGCTGCTGAGAGTTATTTCTGCTTTGCTGCAAAGGAAAAATTCTGAACCCTCTATCAGGGATTTCTTGGCATCGATTTCGGAACTCAGTTTTACTTGCCAAAATTTTTGAGCACCTACTATGCGTGCCAGGTACTTTCCTGGGAGCTGTACACATACAAGTAATTAAACAGGATGTGGCCCGCCCCCCTTCCTGCCCTGGGTGTGGAGCACCGGCCAGGTGTGTGCTTGGGTGGTTGGTTACCGCCTTTTGCACCAGCGGCAGCGAGGAGGGGAGGGTGGGCGCTTTTCCCTTTTCTCTTAGAAGAGGCTTCAGCACAGGTTTTCTCGTTCTCAGTTCCACCCCACCTCACCACCTCCCGACCCCCCTTCTCCCCCTCCCCACCTATCGTCATGAGGGCCTCTCCGGATTACTTGATGGTGCTTTTTGGGATCACTGCTGGGGCCACCGGGGCCAAGCTGGGCTCAGATGAGAAGGAGCTGATCCTGCTGCTATGGAAAGTCGTGGATGTAGCCAACAAGAAGGTGGGACAGTTGCACGAAGTACTAGTTAGACCGGATCAGTTGGAACTGACGGAGGATTGCAAAGAAGAAACTAAAATAGATGCCGAAAGCCTGTCCTCGGCGTCGCAGCTGGACCAAGCCCTCCGACAGTTTAACCAGTCAGTGAGCAATGAACTTAATGTTGGGGTGGGCACCTCCTTCTGTCTCTGTACTGATGGGCAGCTTCATGTCAGGCAAATCCTGCATCCTGAGGCTTCCAAGAAGAATGTACTACTACCTGAATGCTTCTATTCCTTTTTTGATCTTCGAAAAGAATTCAAGAAGTGTTGCCCTGGGTCACCTGATATTGACAAACTAGATGTTGCAGCAATGACAGAGTGTTTAAACTTAGAGAAGGATAGTTCGGTCTCCCGCTATGGAGCCTCTCAAGTTGAACATATGGGAAACATAATTTTAGCAATGATTTCAGAACCTTATAATCACAGGTTTTCAGATCCAGAGAGAGTAAATTACAAATTTGAAAGTGGCACTTGCAGCAAGATGGAGCTTATTGATGATAACACTGTAGTCAGGGCACGAGGTTTACCATGGCAGTCTTCAGATCAAGATATTGCAAGATTCTTCAAAGGACTCAATATTGCCAAGGGAGGTGCAGCACTTTGTCTGAATGCTCAGGGTCGAAGGAATGGAGAAGCTCTGGTTAGGTTTGTAAGTGAGGAGCACAGAGACCTAGCACTACAGAGGCACAAACATCACATGGGGACTCGGTATATTGAGGTTTTACAAGGCAACAGGTGAAGATTTTCTTAAAATTGCCGGTGGTACCTCGAATGAGGTAGCCCAGTTTCTCTCCAAGGAAAATCAAGTCATTGTCCGCATGCGGGGGCTCCCTTTCACGGCCACAGCTAAAGAAGTGGTGGCCTTCTTTGGACAGCATTGCCCCATCACTGGGGGGAAGGAAGGCATCCTCTTTGTCACCTACCCAGATGGAAGGCCGACAGGGGATGCTTTTGTACTCTTCGCTTGTGAGGAATATGCACAGAATGCGTTGAGGAAGCATAAGGACTTGTTGGGGAAAAGGTACATTGAACTCTTCAGGAGCACAGCAGCTGAAGTTCAGCAGGTGCCGAATCGATTCTCCTCGGCCCCTCTCATTCCACTTCCAACCCCTGCCATTATTCCAGTACTACCTCAGCAATTCGTGGCCCCTACAAATGTTAGAGACTGTATACGCCTTCGAGGTCTTCCTTATGCTGCCACAATCGAAGACATCTTGGACTTCCTGGGGGAGTTCTCCACCGATATTCGTACTCATGGGGTTCACATGGTATTGAATCACCAGGGCCGCCCTTCAGGAGATGCCTTTATCCAGATGAAGTCTGCGGACAGAGCATTTATGGCTGCACAGAAGTGTCATAAAAAAACCGTGAAGGACAGATATGTTGAAGTCTTTCAGTGTTCAGCTGAGGAGATGAACTTTGTGTTAATGGGGGGAACTTTAAATCGAAATGGCTTATCCCCACCACATGTAAGTTACCATGTCCTCCCTCCTCCCTCCTACACGTTTCCAGCTCCTGCAGCAGTTATTCCTACCGAAGCTGCCATTTATCAGCCCTCTGTGCTTTTGAATCCACAAGCACTGCAGCCCTCTGCGGCACACTACCCAGCGGGCACCCAGCTCTTCATGAACTACACGGCCTACTATCCCAGCCCCCCAGATTCCCCTAATAGTCTTGGCTACTTCCCTACAGCTGCTAATCTTAGCGGTGTCCCTCCACAGCCTGGCACGGTGGTCAGAATGCAGGGCCTGGCCTACAATACTGGAGTTAAGGAAATTCTTAACTTCTTCCAAGGTTACCAGTATGCAACCGAGGATGGACTTGTATACACAAATGACCAGGCCAGGGGTCTACCCAAAGAATGGGTTTGTATTTAAGGGCCCCAGCAGTTAGATCATCCTCAGAAAAGAAGTGTTTGAAAGATATATGGTGATCTTCAAAATGCCAGACACAAGAAAACTTCTAGCAACTTCAGGGGAAGTTTGTCTACACTCAGGCTGCAGTATTTTCAGCAAACGTGATTGGACAGTGGGCCTGTGCCTTATCTTTTGGTGGAGTGTAAAATTTGAGCCATTGAAGCCAAATCCTTATAGCAATTAGCATGCAGCACACCTGGCTCCTTGCTGATTGCAAACCAGGCATTTAAAATGTGAATTTGAAATCAGATGTCTCCATTACTTTTAGCTAAAGTGACATCATAGGTGTTTCCTAAGTTTTTAAGTCTTGGATAAGAAAATACTCCACCAGTGTCTACCATCTCTACCATGAACTGTCATAGAAGCTTCACTTTTGTGTATTTCTATTTTCTCTCCATCTCCCTGTCTTCTGCACAATCATTCCCTCTTGCTAATTAATTCAAGTGTAAAGTCTTGGAATATTTAAATCACAAACTTAAGGAATGAGAAGACACAATTGGTATTTTGGCAGCCTTTTGGCCATCATGATGTCTTACAGTTAAAAAATCAATTAAAATTATGTTTAAAACACTTGACAACAAATTAGAAGAAATGGTGCACCCTCCACAGAAATAACCAAGCATGGATCTTTTTCTCTGTAGGTACTAGTTGTAAATAAGAATGAACTAGGGGCCAAAATGCAAAACCAAAAACAAAGCAGCTACATGTAGTTCGATATTTCTAGTTTGAACTATAACTGAATATTGTGGCTTCTTATGTATTATTTTACATTGTACGTTTTTCATTATTGATGCTTTGGACTTTAATAAGAATTCCATAGTTTTTAATATCACAGAAATGAAACTATTTTGAACAATGTATTCTAGAAAACAACATACTAACTGAAGTGAATTCCTGTATATATTAAGATAGCCTTAAACCTTTTTCTCTGATGCCTTAACTGTCAAATAATTAAAACTTTTAAAAGCATAGGACTATAGTCAGCTTGCTAGACTGAGAGGTAAACACTGATGCAGGTAGAGCAGGTACTGATTCTGTCAGTGTTGAGCACTGTGTGTTCAGCTGTGTTTATGCTACAAAAGTGCAATATTGGACACTAGCTGGTACTGCTGCCTCATGTAACTCCAAAGAATAAAACAGGATTTGATTTATTGCATTGAATGTTGATATTTCTTTTGTTACTCTTGTTGTCCTGTGCGTGGATGCAATGCCATGCAGATTTATGTGGCTGCTATTTTTATTTACTTTGTATTACTTTGATCAACACCTTGAATGGAGAGCCCAAAATGTCCCGTTTCAGTTGACCAGCAATGGCCCTTTGAGTGCAGTAGAAAATTAAAAAAAACAACAACATTCTATGTGAAAATTGGTGATAACTGGCACTTAAGATCAGAAAGAAAGTTGTTTATACTTGATGCCTTAAGATGCTGTCTGCCCAAAGCTCTGAAAGACTTTAAGATATGCGGTAATGCTACAGTACTACTGAGTTTTTGTAGAATTGTTAACATTTGATAATAAAACTTGCCTGCTTAATCTCAAAAATAAATAAATAAATAAATAAATAAATAAAAAATAAACAGGATGTGTTCCCTTGTGGTGCTAAATTTTTGTGAGCTTATATTCAGATAGTGAAATACAGGCTGGGGAAGCCAGAAGGCTTTCTAGTCGTGGGAATCCTTAGGTTCTTATGACAGCACTGTGGGAAAATAAAAATTCCTTTATCCACTTGCCATGGTGGTGTAGGGAAAAGTGGAAAAGCAAATGGTCACTGCAGCTCCTACCTGGCAAATAGAGCTTGGATAGGCAAGACCAGGAAACAAGGAGTCACCTGGGGCTGCTCTGCTATCATCTTCCCTCCTCATGCATTTGTTAGTAGGAACCTAGTTGATGATTTGGGCATGAGTTTTAATCCCATTGCATGCGAACTTCAACGCAATACAGCATGGTTGTCAATGGGGCCCAGATGTCGGGCCAGACGCCCCTATGGACTGGTCAGGGATGTCAGTTCTTTCCCCTGGCACCCAAGCAAGATGGTCTTGCACTGCTGGTTTCTTTCAAGCCTATTAGGGTTGAAATGGCTTGTTTTTAAGAGCCCACTCGGTTTCTTCCCACCTGTCTCTCAGGGCACTTAGGACAAATAGAGCAGACAGTATGACACACCCCAAAGGCGTCCTTACCCAGTGATCACTAGCCAGTGGCCCATGAGGACCTCTGCCTGTAGGGCGAGCTCTTGCCAGGCATGACTTTCTCAGAAAGTCTTTGCCTCCCTCCCCAACCCCCAGTTTGTCTGGAATCTTAATCCCAAGGTCCAGTGCATTTCTCCACCGTGCCTGGTCCCCGTGTCCCCACTCCTGGCATCCCCCGCAGCTCGGTAGCTGGAGCGGGGCTGGGTTGTGGGTGCTACTGAAAGTAGGGCCTGGGGGCTGCCACGCCACGGCTACCAGCAGGCGCTTTGGGAACTCCTGGGGGCCACCAGTACCTCTGTCTCCAGGCTGTCTCCCCACTCCTTCCGGGAAGGGAAACTTACTGTTAGGAGAAAAGACTGATGTTTGAGGAAACAAAATTTTGGTGAGCCTTCTCTCAGGGGCGTCCTTGCTGCCTCAGGTTCCTTTTTAATTTTGAGTTAGGGAATAAACAAATAACCAAAATGCTGTCGGTCCCCTGGCCAAATGTATGGAAACGGAAAAGGCAGAGTGACAACGTGGGCTTGGTCATGATGGTGGAGCATAATTTCAGCTGCATATACCTGTACGATTGGTGTTTTTTCTCTACGTTTTCATTGAAAACCATCCTGACTTAAATAACCTAATTCCCAATAGTACATTTGGTATCAGTAGCGCTGTTTCCAACTGGTTTAAAACAAAATCGCAAACCTTATGGAAGTATTTGAAGAATTTTAATTTTATTCTTATTGAGGAAAATTATCAAATGGGGCAGCTTCCTGGGCTAATGGGACTATACATACTGGATAGCATAAATGAAGTTTTTGTTTCTTTTTGCAGAGGGAAGTTTGGGTAAAATAATGAAACGGTTTTAACACATGGATTTGGAAATGTATTCATGTTTGTTCAATGAATGATTTCCTGTGCTGAAGGATTGCATTAATAAATATTCTATCAGCAAATGGGATTTCCAAAAGGAACTTCTGAAAATTTGATTTTGAATTGCCTCATGGAACGTGCTGAAATCTTGTGCCGCCCTTCCTTCTTCATTTGATTGCTTTAGAAAGTCCTGAGAACGCCTTCTGCCTAAGAGGCTTACCTGCCTTCAACAATATTGGGGTGGCCCAACCCCAAGTACTCGGTATTTTTTCAGAATGTCTAGTGTTCTTAAATATGTATTATGTGAGTGAGAGAGAGAGAGAGGGAAAAAGTGTATTTGAATGTTGGTACTAAATCATACCCTATAGAGAAGATTCCATTTTCTTTGAAATTCCACATAAGAATTTTTGTACTTACATGTGAAGATAATTGTGAAATTATAGAGGACTGGCAAAGTTGATTTAGAATTTGAAGGGCTTGGAGTTCAGTTTAAGAGCTTTTCTGACTCGCTTTTCCTTTAATGTTTGTGCAGAGACTAAAGTAATTGACTTGTACATCTTCATCCAGAGAGTCAGCCCAATTCAATTCAAAAATGTTTATTGCCATTCCATTCTGAACAAACAGGGTGTGATTCCTATCTTAAAGGAATTTACGGTCTAGCAGGGGATTGAGACGTGGGTGGACGTACTTATTACAATACAGAGTGGTGAATGCAGTGGGAAGAGTGGGGGTGAGGGGCAGGAACCTGGCAGAAAGAGTGGGAGAGAGCACAGGAGGGGACTTGATTAAATGCAGAGGCCTGGGGTGCAGCAGGCGTCACAGAATTCTCCCTGCCCTGGGAGGCCAGTTCAGCTCCCCCGACTGGAACAGGTTAGTGCCGTGGCCTTGGCATTCCAGAGCATGGGGACACTATTTGTTTGCTTTCTCTGTTGTATGTTAGGGAATTTCCCTATTTATAAGGTACTAAGTTACAAAGACACAAATACAAGGAGTGGAGGAGTGGGAGGAGGGATCCAGTAGGAGATGGCAGTTGGCAGATGTGTGGCACTCCCAGGTGTCCTTCTGTGACCCATCACAGACAGATGTCACTCATCAGTCGTGGCACTCTTTTCTGTTGCTCTCTGTCAACATGGCGAACCAGGCAGTTTCCACCACTTGGTGAGGTTGATGGGAGGAGGATGCCTGTTGACTATGGCCAGAGGTCCTTTTTCCGGAAACTGAGCAGGGATGCAGGGGCTCCTTGGATTTGCTGATCTAGGGACAATAGAGGTGCCTGAGGACCACAGCCTGACCTTGTGGAGAGTCCACTGGCAGAGGGGCTGGCCGTCCTGGGAGTGCATTGGCAGCAGCAGTGCTGAGAGGCTGCTGGGAAGGTCCCAGGCAAAGGCACAGTCACCAGGTCTTTTGTGATGATCAATAGAAATGATGGAGGTAGGAGATTTTTGGACAGTTGGAAATGCCCTTCAGATGGAGAGTATTTACCATTTTTCGTTTCTCTGTGTCCTCGTTCTTGTCTTGCTCTTGGGAGTTGAGAAAGGGGCGGGCTGTGCTCTGATGCTGCAGCTCCACTGCCCCCCAGCTTCCAGGGGGGCCACCGCCAAGCAGAGCTCCCCTTTCATGTCAGCGACAGAGGAGGGAAAATAACAACAAAGTTTTCCTGGCTTTAGAAGTGAACTGCAGGGAAGACGCAGCAGAGAAAGCTCCTCATGGAGAATAAATGAATCACGGAAGTGTCTATTTTAGGAATCTTTACTCTTGATTAATCTCAGGCATGGAAAGACGAAAAAGGAAAAAAAAAATAACAACCAAAAACAACAACAGTAATCACAGTTCTCATTTGGAGGTGCCAGTTTTCCCCTTCTGTTCCATGTTATATATTTTCCATTTTCGCACCATTTTGATCACTGAATCTTTTATATTTTAGCAAGGAAATGTTGGCAATGGTGAGTTTCCATCATGCTGTCCGCACTCTAAGCATCTAACCACCACAAAAGAATTCGGCAGGTGTCAGTGAAACGGGAATGAGTCCTTACCTTCTTTCTACATTAGCGATGGTTGGGATACACCAGTGTGAAGGTGGCTAACAGTTCCAAGGCAACCTGGTGGCTGTATTTCAGTAAACCTGTAAAACTGGTTCCTTTTTTGAACATGCTTTCTGTAACACTTAAAAAAATACCTGCTGTTTGCAAAACACTTCAAAGACTGGAAAAGAATGTCTCCAGAACCTCAATAAAAACTGGGAGAAAAATGTTGAGTACAAATGCCTTTGATCTCAGAAACTCAAGACATTTTTTATATTTTACTTTTATCTGATTGTAAAAGATAAGCATGCTCATTGGAGAAAATTTTTAGAACATTAAAAGTATAACAGAAAAAAGTAATAATTTTATCATTCAGATATATCATAACATTGGTACATTGGTTGTCATAAAAAATTGTTTAAAACATGTTTTTTTTGTAAGTGCTGTGCAA